TCTACTGCTGAATTCTTGTTACCCTTCAGCTTATGATCAACAGTCACATCAAACCAGATCTGTCAGTGTACTACAAATTCTGCTAATATACTTTAACTCCCACATCATCTGTATACAAAACCAGATGTGAACTGGTCTGGCTGCTTATCAAAATTATAACTAAAAAATTTAAGATATTTTCTAATTGCAACTTTTTCTTTAATTGCCAGGTTTAGTTTTTTTAAAAAAACCAACAATATTATTACAAATATTTTTTTAAAGCTTGACTTCTCAAGAACCTGAAAACCATGCTTGAACCATGAATTAAAATGGGTTGAACAATGGATTACACTGGGATGAATCCAACGGTTTCCTTCTTCTAGAATCAATTTATTTTCAGATACCGTATTTTTATATATGTGTGAATTTCAAAACATAAAAACTATGGAGGCCATCAATCTCCTACTTTGACTTTCAATGAGTCTAAAATCATATTTAGTATTTTCTAGCACACCCTTCTCAGGGTTGTGACAATTTAAAGCCTGTATTATTGCCATTTTAAAAGCACAACAATATCCAGATGGTGTAAATGCTGCTGCAAATCACTAGTTGGGAAAAGCTCCTAGCATCAAAACAAGATGCATATTTTATTTGATTTTTATCCTGACTTTATAAGTAACTCAAGGCCATGAACATACCTAATACTCCTTCCTTGTCCTTTTTTTCCATCCAACACACACACATACATTTTGTCATTCCATGAACTGCATAAATCTTGACTACTTAAAAGGAGATCTCATCCATGTTTGTGCCTTGATATGAATGTCATGTTTGACTCTGAAGGCACAGCTGGAAGCTAAACCTTTTTCTGACAGATAGATGACAATTAGCTTTCGTTTAAAATATAACTTCCTCGTATCTCAGCCATCTGAGAATGTCAGCCATATACTTTAGGTAATATAAATCATATTCAATATTTATTGTCTTTAACAGGTGACAATTTCAAGTTAAATGTGATTTCTACTTGAATGGGGAGATCAGCAGAAAACTGATATAAATTGTATATCCTCCTCCCACAACCCACCCCCTCCCAACCAAAACAGAATAATAAACCTTCTATATTGTAAAGAAAACTATTCATCTTCTTTATATGGCCACACATCTCACAAAGTATCTAGACATGCCCATCTAGTATCCAGAAACTGGGCTGTTTTAAAAGAGCTTTGATTTACTGTAATTCCAGGTTTCTCAAATTATGGGTTAAGAGTAAATTTAGAGGTGAGAAGATCTTTTTTTTTAAAAAAAAAAATCTTGATACAGGCACAGACATAGCAGAAACACTGTCAAAACTCACTTAGGCTTTGCTCCTCATGCTCTCTATGCAAACATTCAGATTAGTTATGGCAATTCAAATGTTTAAAAAGCCCATGATTAAATGTGGAGTATTTGTTTCTTGTCCAACCCTAACACATAGGAATTCATTATTTTATTTGGGGAAGAGTCACACACTCTTATCATTTTAAATGGTCATAGTACTACAATGTTGACAATGCTTGTGTTAATCACATGTTGAAAAAAAAATCTACTTTAAATCCAAACTGCTTGCATACATATGTTTAGCCTGATATTTAATAGGGAACATGTCACATGTTTACTTTTCCAGGGAAAGTTGACTGTGGTTTTGGAACTGGAAAGAGCATGCCATGTCTCAATACCACTAGCATATAATTTGACACTTTTCCCAACCGTATAGTTACATCACATAGTATATTGCAGATCATTTTAATGTTTCATGTACCTAGCTAGAATCAGTTCTCCCTGAAATAAATCAATATAAAAACATAACAGACCCATTAATTTATGATGTATAAGGCCTTAAGCTAGCCTTAGTATAGTAAGGCTAGTTTAAGGCCAACTTTACAACAGTGAGAATACAGGTAGTCCTCGACTTACAACATTCATTTAGCAACCGTTCAAAGTTACAACAGCACTGAAAATAGTGACTTATAACCATTTTTCACACTTACAGCCACTGCAGCATCCCAATGGTCACATTATTTACATTCAGATGCTTGACAACTGACTCATATGTATGACGGTTGCAGTGTTCAGGAGTCATTTTGCGACCTTCTGAGAAAGTCAATGGAGAACCCAGATTCACTTAACAACCGTGTTACTAATTTAACAACTACAGTGATTCATTTAACAAATGTGGGAAGAAAAGTCATAAAATGGGACAAATTTACTTAACTAATTTTTCACTTAACAACATAAATTTTAGGCTCAGCTGTGATCATAAGTTGAAGACTACCTGTACTTGAATAAAAAAAATGCATATATAGCAATTCTATCCATACTCCGAATGCCTCCCAGACCAATACTTATGCAACTCCACTACAAGACCAGGGCTTCTTTGTGCATTTCTAAAGGATGGAAAAGGATGGGATTTTGTGCAAGTTCTATAAAGCAAGAAAAGTAGCGAAAAAGCAGCTTACAGGAAATATCACCCTTCTCAGATAGAACAGAGCAGGGCAATCATTAAGAATTCAGTACACATAGTCAGAGCACCTAGAACCACATTCCCCTAGAAAAAAGTTACATATTTTACTTTTTTCTTCTGAAAAAGAAAAGCTACCAGAAAACTGGAAATAAGACTGTGTTTATTAAATATTTTGATAAAACCAGGGCACAAAAGTTTATATGCAAAGATTGGAATATTCTACTATATTCAGAGAAAGTGCAAAGACTAGATAAACCAAAGATTTTGAAGTGGGGTAATTTTTTCTTCACCCCTTCTTCTGCAAACAGAAACACATCCAGAGGAGTTCATCGTGGATTGATTTTGGCTTTGAGTTTGTCTTTGCTAAATTAAAGTGCTAGTGTGAGATATCAAGACAGAGGGAAATCAAATGATAAAATGTCAGTACTCAATAAATTGACTTTTCCTCTCAGGAAAGGCTTTGATGTTGAGTGATTAACATACAGTGAGTGTTTTTACATAAACTTTTTAATAATTCAATGAAAAGAAAAACACTGCATGAGCCTATGTTGCTTCTATCACAAGAGCTGAGCTTACTCAGATCCTCCACATGAATGAAGAAAGCATGATCAACAGTGTAGCTATTGACACAAACCAAAAAGAAACTATGGTGCAGAAACATATTTCCATGAAAAATGCAAAGCAATAAAGGCAATTTATATAAACATTTCAGGTATCACTAGTTCCAGATGACACAAGTGAATGCTACATCCTTATGCATAGTTATGGCAAAGGGTTCAGAACACCACTAAGAGAGAAATTGTTACACTAATTCTTATTAAAACTTTTGTGTAATCATTAGGAAGCTAGAAGAGAACCATAATGAGCCACTTTAAAAACTAGATTCACCTGAAAGCTTCAAAGCTCACTATAGTATTGCCTTTTTTTAAATTTAGAAGTTTTAAAATAAATGTGATTTATTAAGCTGGTTGAATTATATGGCACATAGTGTAGTTAAATAACACACAGGATTTCTGAATATGGACATGCATTCTTGGTTATTTTAGAGAAATCAAGCACTTACACTATGGGTAATGTTATTTTTATAAATGCCATGTAAGGGTTTAGAGGCAAAACAACCAGTGTAAAGAACATCAGTTAACAGGTTCAGTGGTATCAATTCAATTAAATATATTTTATTAATATAGTAGGCACCAAATAGGTCCACAAGTATCGTTTATTCTGAATTCTGGAAACAGAATCTTTTGGGGGAAAACCATGAACATAATTTGAAAAATGAGGTATTTAGGAATTCTCATTTTTCTTTCCCAAACTCTTATTGTTTGGTATCTTGTTTTCACACCTTAGAAATATTATCTTAAAAACAATTAAAAGAATGAAAATCAATGTATAGTTTATGAAAAACTCTACAGTTGCACAAATATAGCTTGGGCTGTGCATGTTTTCAAATGAGCAAGATACAATGCTGAAAAGCACTTCAGAGCAAAAATCTGATTATTATTGAGAAAAGTGATTTCATAGTCATGAAAACTTGAGAAAAGAGATAAGCGGCAGTGGCCTTACAGTGAAGTCCTATACAAGCCTATTCAGAAGTGAAGTCCCACTGAGTACGGTGGGCCTATCTCCAAAGAAAGTGGTAAAGGACTGTACAGTCTTTCTTCTAATACTGCTAAGAACAAACAGCTCTACTAACAAATAAAGAACCCAAGACATTTTAATTAATTATTATATTTTCTGCATTATAGTTTAACATACATACTTTCCTTGTGTCACCCTTATTTTCATTAAATGTTGATATTTTGTAATATTCAGACAGGAATACATTTTTGGAACAGGTTTTTATAATAAATATCATAAAATAATAGAGATTTACATAATAAATATTCTTTACAATAAAAAAGTTTTAACAGACCTTTGTCTTAAAAATAGTCAGAATTCAACTTTGTGATTTTACATAAAATATACAAAAAGCACCACAATATGTGGCTAAGGCAATAAAAATAGAAGAGGAAAGTTACTCAGCCCGAGGGTGAATTAAACTTTTTAAACCACAGAAATAGAAGGGTTAAGAAATCAAAGAAGGCTTATACAACTTAAATTGTATTACTACCTGTATTATTCAGATATGAAGAAACCAACTTTAGTATCAAAATAAAAGTGACAGATAGGCTGTGTGTGTGTGTGTGTGTGTGTGTGTGTGTGTGTGTGTGTCTGAAAACAACAGAAGCTTATGAACAAACCTGTAATGATGGCAATGAAGGTAAATATTTAAAATCTGGATTGAAAAAAATAGTAGCCAAGGAATGAGCAAACTGTAGGTGGTTAATTTTTTAAAAAATGGGGGTGGATGGGCAGGAGACTAGGTTTACTAAATTTCAACCCATCTTTTTTTCTTTCCTTTCCGCTTTGTTTAATGGAAATAACTGGATTGTGCAGCCTTTTTTTAAAAAGGGGAATGGGAAGAATTGGGAAAAAAAAACACTTGAAAGTAATTAAAGTTAGTTAAAAATAGAACAAAACAAAACAAAACAGCCTCTTTGGAAAGTTGTTTGCAGAATAAAGGACTTCAGAAAAACCCAGTACCCTCATTACTTCTTTCAGGAGTCTATTACTCAGAGTCCTGAGATGACTTGCCAAGATGAAAAAAGACACCAGCACATGAGCCACACTTACCGAAGGCCACTGCATTCAGATTTGCCCTTCACTGAGATAAGCAAAGGAAGTGAAAGAGGATCTTGGGCATGATAAGAAAAAAGGGGAATGAAGACAGAAAAGTCAGCCACAATCTGAGAGATGGTGTCTGAGGAACTGAATCTTTCTCTCCAGAAATCAGGAGGGCTTGCCTTGACCCCTAGATGGACAACTTTCCAGTTTACAATAAACTGTATTGGAGTTTTTGCACCGGCATCCTGGACGATTCATCCAATCGTAACACCCACGGCACAGTTTTAGGCATCCTTTTGCAGGAGGGTAACAGAGCAGGCAAGGAAGAAACAAAGCCATGGCCCCCATGCATAGGTACCGTGAGCAGCAGTGTGACTGGGAGCATGAGCATGGATTATCCGCGTACGAGTCCCCTTCATCATCGTTGGAACAGTGGTAGAAAATTCCTTTGACCAGACACATACAGGTGCTATATTCCACCAGGCTTTCTGCTGAGCACAAGCACTGTCTGTTGCAGGCCAAGCAAGAAGGCAAGGCCCTGGGTGCTGTGCATTCTCCACATTTGCACTTCCCACACTGTTCACATATGAACTTATGTTGAGTAGAATCCTCTTTCAAAGGACTTTTCAGGTCATCTACAATCAAAGATGATGGCTTGGGTTGCGTCCTGATTGGCCTTTCAAATCTCTGACCCGGGCCCAGCCTTGATGGTGGTGATCTTAATAGAAGGCCCTGCTCTGAAGAAGCACTGCTGTTGCTTCCAGAACTAGCTGCACTTCCAGTGCTTGTAGATCTGCTCAAAACAGGAACCCTTGAGTTGTGTTGATGTAGCACATGTCCAGGATGGCTGGGTCTGGGCTCATAATTATTATTCACATTTATTGGTAAGATTTCATGAGTCCTTTCATGTTTTTCTTGTCTTGGAGCTGTTCGTGGAGCAGACTTTTTCACCACAGATGGACCTTCAGTGTATTCATTGCTACCCCTGAGAGTCTTGATCTGGTCCAGTGACAAGATGGCAGCTGCCTGAATATCTCTTTCATAGTCCAACCTCTGCCGGTTGTCCAGAAAAAGCTGCTGGACAACTAACGAACTGCTGTTTCCATGCTGACCTGTGGACTCCATCGGTAGTGGTCTCTAATTCTGGCATTCACCAGAAACTGGGCATGCATCTGAAATCCTAAAAGGAAGGAAGAAAATTGGAAAGATGAGTAAGTTCCAAGAAGTTTTTTTGGGAAAAAAATTTAACCTTTTACAACAAGCCACAATATTGCCCCAATATCCTAATAGAGACAGATAGGGAAATTGCCCTAAGTTAGGCACACCAATATAGATGACAACATAAACAAAATATACTGAAATTATTGTGGTTAAAAATCAAGCATTTTGCTTTTTAGTAAATTGTAATGTGATTTCATTTTTAAGTATAATATTATGGTTTCACTGCATTTGATCAAAAGTAGATTCTTTACTGCCTCACATGCTATCGCAAAAGTAGTATAATTATTTCTGCTCCATTGCCACCAGTTATCATTCGATTGCAACATAAAACATGCAAAGCCACACCAAGTTTCAGAGCATATGATAAAGATTGATAGAACACATTCAAATTCTAAACAAAAGGAGACGTGAAAATTCTTAATTAGATTTTTGGTAGGCTGTTTTACTTGTCCAAGCTGCATTCTAAGACCATTCTTTATTTTAAACATTGTCAGCTTAGCAGTACTTTTAGTTGTAATTCCATGATGCCTCAAGCCAATTACCAATGGGAAAAGTATGTGAATCATTTCTGGGCAGTGTGCATTTATGTAATGCATACATACATACATACATTCAATGTCTAGTGCTTGTTAGAGCAAAACACCAGATGTAAACAACATCCTGTTACACAACATCTTTCTCCAAGGGCCCATGCATATAATGCAGGGTGTGAAAGGAGGTAGAGGAAGGAAAGGATATCAGGAGAAGAGATAGGCAAATAACCCACTACATTTATCAGATCTTTGCAAATGTACCTGCAGGTTCTTTGGATGAATAAGACGCTAGAGGGAAAAAAAGACCTAAGCATGATGTGTGATGAGAAAAGCATACCATAGATAGACAAGATTCAAAACATTCCTTTTCATATTAATTTAAAAAAGAGAAAGCGAAACTTGAATCTGTATTTACTTTCTTGAGACCACTATGACAACCGTTAATACAGGTTTTTGTGGAAAGTGCTCTACACAAAGACAGACAATTTTTGACCATGACAATTTTGAATGAGATACAGCCCATGATTTGGAAAAATATCCCCATAATTTCTCATCTGAGTTAATGTAAAATAAGGTATAAAATAAGGCTGTGCAGCACTTGACCAATATGCCCAAAATGTCACATAAACCTTTAGTATGCAAAGACTCAAAAAGCTGAAAGTCATCTAACTAGTTTAGAGCTGAGAAAAAAATTTGAACTAAATATTCACAATATTTTGCTTTATAAAACAGGCCACATTATTTTTTAAATATATTTAAGTTGTATGTATCTTATACATCATGTTGTGAGCTGCTTTGAAAGGCCAAACAGAAGTAAGAAATTGAGCTATAGCATTTGAAACTGTGGTAATATAATTATAAACGGAAGCTTACCATTTAGTAATTATACAAATTAAATAACTGCTTTCCAGCAAAAAATGCTACCTTACTTTCCACATACTTATAGAAACACATTTTTATACACCCACCCAGACACCACAGGCCAGAACACAAATATAATCCACACAATAACCTTTCCATAAAGTTCTAGAAACTATTCAAAAAAATTCTACTGGGATAAAAGAGAAGACTGGAAATTAGATTATTTTTTCTTAGACAGTTGTGGCTTTCAAAAATCTAATTATGTACAAGAAACAGCAAGATGGAATGTAATTATTTTGTTCCTTCTTTAAAAAGTAGAGTTTATTTGGAAGTGACTTCTGATTGTTCCAGAGTACTTATTTTCTAAAATGTTTTGGATGCTATAGCCTGATTAAGTTAAAAAAAAAGACTACTTCTCTTAGATAGTAAGTTGTACAACTGATACCCAAAATCAGGATTGTTTTTATTAGTTTTAAGTCCCGTGCTTTGTGGGACAAAGCCTGACATGTTTCTTGATTTACTTCATTACTAGCCTTCAAAATGGTAGGAAGGTGAACAAGCCCTACAAAAATCTGGTTTCCCTGGACTTGAGAGAAACGGAGCAGCAACAGGCTGGTGAGGCAGTGGTTGCACTGCCCACATGCAATCTGAGCTCAGAGAGAGCAATGAATGCAGAGCTGGATAGAAAAAGAAAAAGTTATGAATGAAAACAAGGGATTTTTTTTCACCCCCCATTTGCAGAATAGGAGGGGAATCGGCTAAGGTTACTATTACCTCAGGGGGGCGGACTTTCCAATGCTTAAAGCTGCACTGCCTCCTGTACCTTTCAAGACAAATATGGAAGATTTGTGTGTGCTAGTTTGAGCATGCAGGGATTCCCCCCTCCCTTTTCCCTTCAATGATTTCTAAGAAGGTGGGGGAGGGCGGGGAAGCCTTTTTATCTCTGCCTGAAACACCATTTCCTTCTTGCAGCCTCCCTGCCTCTTCAGTGACCCACTAGAATCTCGCCCATATTGCAAGGGAAAATCCCTCCACTATTGACTACACATAGTTCATGCACACACACATACACACACACACACATTTTTAAGATCTGCATTCTTAGAAAAAACTGTTGGGGATTATTTAGTGAACTATTTGAAACAAAAAGTCGACCTTGCTTCTTAGCATAAAATCCGCGGAATTAGTAGGGATTATTATGACATCCACCTGTCCTCAACACACTTCACATCCACAGAACGGCATGTAGCAGAGTAGAGCTCTAATTCCTGTGATGAAAAAAATAAATCCAATCCCTTTTTTTTTTTTTAAAGTGTTTTACAATATGTGGCCAACACAGTTACACAATTGTATACTCTCCTTTCTGAGCCATATCTGTACTCTTGAGAATAAACAAGACAACTCTGATAGGGCTGGACAGAGCAGTTTCCAGAAACATATGTGCAAGCATACCATCAGCAACAGTAGAAGCAAGACCCAACCTGGTCAACTTATTTCGGCATCATCCAACAATCAAGCAATCCAAAATGATTTCCTTCCAGGGTCACCTGTGCCAAACGCGATCAAAAGACTACACCAGAGGAGTGGGTTAAAGACCTGGCATTGGCATCAAAGATCTCTAACGGTCAAAAAAGGGCATACTTCTCCACCGAAGCAGTTGGCAGCAAAGGTCGGCAGGTCTTAACTCTTTGATCCAGCCACCCCACTTCTCTTTACAACAACACGCACGCCTATGCCTTGTCCGAAGTCACAAGTTCAGAGCCCAGCAAATCTGGGCTGGAAGACAATCGAAGCCGCCTCTCTTTAAGCCAAGGAAATCTATGCAAACGAGCCCTCCAGCGATCGCAGCGCCACCCTCGGATCCCCTCTTCAAGCTGGGCCCACAGAAAACTCCTCTAACTAGGAAGGGGACATGCCAGGGCACCTGCTGAATACTTGAGCGCCACACGTGCAAAAAAAAAAGGCAGCGAGAATCCATTTTGCAAGCCAAGTTAGGACAAGAAAGGGGACGGGCACAAACTTACGTTTTTGAATGGCAAATCCGCGTGAAGGCACCTCCCTGCTAAGTTAGATCCATAAGGTAGCGTGCGAGGCTCAGAGAAGTCTTAAAGCTCAGGAAAACTCATTCCAGAGGGCAAAACCTTCTCGGCTCCCCCCAACCTTTGCTCTCCAGCTGTCGTCTGGTCCGAGAAGCCAAGTTTGTTTCTCTTCGCCTTTTCTCGACTCGCGCCCAGCGGTCGCAAAATCCTGGTCCTCGAACGAAAGGCAGCCCAACTCGTTCGCCCCCCCAAACAGCTCGCCTTCCCAACACAAACATTCAAAGGGGTGTCTGCTTACACTGCGCGCCCCTGCCCTGCAACTAGTTACTCGGGAAATTTTCTCCAAAGAGCAAATCCCAAAGAGTCTTCTTCGGTAGTCGGTAGGAGAAGAGGCCGAACTGGTTTTGCAAATTCGGGCTACAGCTTTTCCACCACGCGCTGCATCCACACAGCCCGAGAGAGGGTCGCTCCTAAGCGGAGAATGACTTCGGAGGGGGGTGGGGGGAAAAAAAAAAACCACCAGAAAGGAGTAGCCGCCTTTTCGCGAAGCAAGCTTGCTGCGGCACGTTCGCTTCTCCCTCCTGCCTTCCGCCAAGTTGGAGCTTTTTCTTTTTCTTTTTTTCCCTTTGGAGGCGCAGATTTTCCCCTCCCAGTCAGGCGCGCGTGTAGCAGATAAGTCCAACCACTTCCTCGACTCTAACCTTCTTTTCACCACATGGTCCTTGGCCCGCAGCTTTCCGCTCCAACCTTAAGCGAAGCAAAGTGCAAGGGAAATGCCTGGGGGAGGGGAGGAAATCTAACATCAATAAAAAATGCAACCAGGAGGCGCAAGACATCCTCGCGGGCGTAACAGAAGAGGCAAGAAGCAAAGCTACCATGTGCTTCTTGGCGCAGCTTGGTTGACAGGCTGATTGCACCAACAATCTCACTGGGGAGGAGGGAGGAGTAGCCCTAGAGAGTCAATACATCTCCCCTCTCTCTTTCTCTCTCTCTCCTCACACGCACACAGACACACGCACGCATACAGTTGGTGTTTGAGCTGAATACCCGTGTAACCCGAAAAGGTACAAAGGTTGCAAAAGGATTTCACGGAGGGAGGACAAATGGCGCACTGTTTTGGGTTTTTTGTTTTTTTTTTTTGCATTCGTTAAATTCCCCCAAAAGAGTTACTGGATCTACATTTGAAACAACTTAGCTGCTTTACTTATTAAGGGTGTTGCAGATCGTTAAACCATCAAAAACTCACGAATGTCAATACTGGTATCCATTTATTTTAAACGTTTCCAAAGCCGGGAGCGTTTAAGCCATAAGTTGGTTGCACCCACTTACAGATACGCGCATTTAAAATGAATCTCTCTCTCTCTCTTACACGCACTCGCACTCGCACACGCACAGCACCTGAGCTACTTCCGAAAGCCTTGCAAAAACCTCCAGATCGTGATTACCGAATGCAAAGGTTAGGAGCCGTTCCCTTAAATTAAATCCCACGGGAATAGAATTAAATCGAAGTCGCCTGCTCGGAGAGACGGCAGTTGGTTGACTTTGCCCGCTGCAGCTATCACTTTGCAAGCTCTTTTGTGCGCGAGCGTAGCTGTTTCAGAACGAGCTAAACTCCGCACGGCAGCATTTCAGCACGGAGCCCCCACCTCAATCCTTCCTCACGCCTCCAGTGATGTCAATCTGTCACTCAGAGAGCGACCAGAAAAACCCGGAGTGGAGTTTCTTCCCCGCAGCTACACTGTTTCATCTTACTCATTCATGTCTCTGAGCGTCCCAGTTATAATGATTGTTTACCAACCTTCTTCATGTTTTCCCCTTCACGTCACGAAAAATAATACGAGAAGTAATGTTGCCCTGACTTGGATTATTTGCAGACACAATTTTTTAAAATGCCTCTCTGAGAATATAATCTTTATGACTATTTTTTTTAATGCTTGTAATGACTTTGTCTTTTTCTTAGACATATAAATTGTGGTTGTACTAAACTCATTCAATGAGTTCATAAAGGACATATGATACTTTTCACCAATATAATTATATGCATATTTATGTAGGAGTAAGATTTGTGGTGCTTCATAATTTTGCAATCTTAATTCTGATACACAGGTCTAGTAGTCATTTTTAATAAATCTGGAATAAAATATTTAATGCTATATTTGTAGTATTTGCTTGTAATCTGCATTTGTAGATTACAGACTTTTTCAGAGGATTGATGCATGTACTTGTTTCATTTATGCATGTTCTTAATTGTTATATACAATCCAAAATAGAAATAGTATTTTAAAAAGTAGAATCCCCAATTAAATTTTATTAAGCTATTATCATTGTATGGTACCCTTGAAGGCTAGTCTGTCTATCAGATTCCCCCAAATTCATGTGCTAAACAAACAAGTTTCTGTGAGGGCTCTTTTGAATGAGATCGCTTTGTATTTATTTATATAGCTTGTAATAACAATTCTCGAAATAGTCGGGGGGGGGGGAAGAAGAGCTAAAAGAAATTAAAAAGGGACAATATATCAAAACAGCATAAATAATAAAAGCTGTAAAAGGTTTAAAAAATAACATACAAAAAGTCTGCAAAAAAAATAGTAAAAAGTTCGGAAATTTATGTCTGGGTAGGACATCTTGTTAGTGTCATTATCTAAATGTAAACATCCTCCTTTCAGCTCCCCATTTGTGTGGCCAAATGGGAAATTTTAGCAAGGCAATGGGAGAAGGGTATTTGCATTGCTGCCCTTACAATCTTCTCTTCCTCTTCCTCATCATATAGCAAGAACAACTCAACCATTTTCAAGTCCGCCATGTCCAGCTCCGGTCAATCATTTTGCAAGGCTCACTTGCTGAATATAATATAGACCATATTTTGTCTATCACCAATCCTCATGTTAAAGCATTTTCTCCCATTTTTTTTCTCTTTCCTCTACCAAGGGAAAGAGAAGAAACATTTTCTGAAAGTTTGTAAACAGATTATCCAAAATCTGAATGAAAATTTGGTTGTGAATTATTTTGAATTATTTTATTTCTGCTTTCTGGAGACAGCTAAAGATGGCACTTTCCTCAGGATGTTTGGGTGTTGGTGCTAGGTACTTTTTGGAGTTCATATCTAATCTATTATTTGTGATCATGTCTTTATGTGATCTTCTGAGAGTTTACTTATGATTGTAACAAGATATAAACTTGATATAAATTTAAATCATTAACATTATTCAAAGTTTAGCTTGATTTAAAACATGGTACAGTACAAAATCTTATATAAAATGCTATTGTTAAGTATGTATAATGGTTTTCAAGGTAATTATTTAGAAGCTAACCAGCTGATGTAATGTAAGATGTATGATGTAATGTTGGGAATGACTCAGTAGGGTCTATGGCTCTTTAAGAGCAAGCAGGGTCTGTATCTCTTTAAGAGCTTAGTACCGTGGTGGCGAAGTTATGGCATGGCTGCCACAGGTGGCACGCAGAGCCCTCTCTGTGGGCACACACGCTGTCGCCCCAGTCCTAGGCCTTCAGCTGGGTTTTATAAAACCTTTTCGCTTTAGGCCTGCACCTCCATGTGCAAAAAAAATAGGTTCAATCAATCAATCAATCAATTTTAACTTCTCGCGAGGAAAAAAAAGATCTCACAAAGTTGTAATTGATTGAACTTTTTAGTCCCACCCAGTCTGCCATTACCACTGCAGCCATGCCCACCATATGGACCACGCCCACCCAATTGGCCACACCCACCCAATGGGCCACGCCCAATTGGCACCCATCGATACATAAGTGGGTTTTTGGTTGCAGTTTGGGCACTCGGTCTCTAAAAGATTCACCATCACTGGCTTAGTATAAAAGGGAAGGCTCCACAGATGTGTGCTTTCTCTTCTGTTTCCTGCTGTGTGTTAGAGCCTGCTGTATTAGCAAGTGTATGTATATTGTTCCTGGTGTATGATATTGTAGATAGTGTAATATAAACCACCATTTAATATAGACCACTGTTTACTGTGTTTACTCCTGGGTTATCTCTGTGCAATAAGACTGTGCATGCTCTGACAATGGTGATGTGGGATGATTGTATAAGTTATACCAAGTTTCTTTCTCCATATGTTCTTGATAGAATATCTTCCTTTGAAAAAAAATGATAGCAATCACAACCTTGAGAACATCTCAAAGTGCTTTAGTTTTTAAGCACATGTTTTCAAGACATTTAGAAGTATCAGTGTATCATTTAAGATGCATTGTGTCATCCTGAATTGCAAAAATTGGTGAACATAGTTGAGGACTGCAAATTTTAATATACTTTGATATATTGTGTAAATGGTGAAATGAGCTGGCTCTGTTAATTACATTGATAAAAGCACAGAGAGAATCTAACAAAAATGATAAATAGAACATTGCTTTTAGAACAGCTGTAGCCAAAAGTTTGTTCCTGGAATAGAAACCACTTCTTAAATATGAGGAATATGATTTAAAAAGCAGAGTTAGCACTAGTTCAAATACATTCTTCTTATATTCTCAAATTGTCCTTTCACTTTTAAAATCTGGATCTAAATCTTGCTTAAGAAGAACTTAAAATATAGATGACATCTTTGAAGAGTGGTATAGACAATAACAGATGAGTAAGACCTGAAATATATTTCTAGGTTCGTTCAAATCATCCATTTACTGTATTAATGCAATAATGAACTTGATTCAGTGGAAAATCCGTGGTAGCACAGTGGTTAGAATGCAGTATTGCAGGCTAATTCTGCCGACTGCAAGCAGTTCAATCCAGCTCAAGATTGAATCAGCCTTCCATCTTTCCAAGGCTGGTAAAAATGAGAACCCAGGTTGTTGGAGGCAATATGCTGACTCTGTAAATTGCTTAGGGCTGTAAAGTACTATAAAGTGATATATAAGTCTAAATGCTATTGCTATTTATTTATATGAATTTATGTGGCAGCCATCAGGTGGATAACAAAAATTAAAATACAATATAAATATATATTTAAAAAAATAAAAACACAAGTAAATAAAGTTGATCTCAAGCACACCATTCACCAACAGTATTATAGAAATTATGGCAATAAGGCAGTCCTTCAAATTTCTGGGCCTCATGGCATGTAGGGGTTTATAGGT